CCCCAAAACCCCAAAACCCCAAAACCCCAAGAAATGGGTTAAAGATTGAAAAGAGTGGAAAGAAATGTAAGATTAAGTATACGAAAATTTCCATTGGGGTTTTGTGGGATTAGATAGTTTAAATAAACATGTAAAATACTTAAAAGAGGTCTTAAAGGCTTCTTTGCATTGTGCATGATTTACTCACATGCATAGCTTAATTAGGCTTGCACTCTTACTTATATGTCCTGATCTAGTGTAATTTCTCTTTATTTTCTCATTCAAGATTAATTTTGTAAGTATTAAACTTTCTCTAGGATTAGAACAACTAGTTTGGGAAAATAAGAATGAAATCCAGAAATTATATGAAGATTTGAACAAATTAAGAATGCAAGTAACGAACCTTGAGATGGATAGGAAATGAGAGAGTCCATGACCAAGGCTTAATCAGAGTAAGATTTAGCCTACTAGAGCAGTCAAAAATTCAATGCATCTTGGAGGTCTAGTCAGGTTTTAAGTTTTATTTATTAATCCCTTTAGTGATAGGGCAAATGTACATCTTGTACCTTCATAATAGCTTTATTCCTAAGGTTTTTACTCATAAAATTCCAAAAAAGCAGCACAATTTACCAACATTTAGATAAAATAAGAGCACTAAGCTTCTCACCAGCATTCAATAGTGTAAATACGGAAAAATAACGAATGGAAGAGATACTCAAGGCATTTAGAAGGGGTTATTGAACAACTTCTGCAAAAAAGATTGGAGGCAAAGGGTAAATACCTCTGGCTCTATCATCCTACTTCTTACGTCTGGATACTTTCCAGAACTTATTTCCTCAATCTAAAAGCTAAAAAATTTCAACCTCTTATCAATTCCAAAATGGATGTTTCTTACAACAATATTAGGATAGACCATGTGCGCATTAAAGAGGGAAGGAATTATGAAGATTTTCAAAATCTTGATGAATTCCTGCTAGGAGATACTCATGAGCAATCTAATCAAAAGGATAATTCCTTCGAGAATCAGGCCACAAACAAAATGTTTGAAACCCAAGAAGCAAGAGGTGAATTTGGAAGAACTGAAACCATCAAGAGAAAGTCTGAGAGTCACAGGAAAAAGGTAACTGTGTTTATTAAATATCAAAAGAATCTTTGATGATATAAAAGTCGCTTTTTAGTGCCCTTTATTTTCTTAGAGATTGTTGATGCTATTCAGAACCTATAAATCAAAACCTTGAGGCTTTCTATATATACTAAAATATGTGCCCTGCTTTTCGGCCTATAAAATTCTGAGCTTATTTCTAAATATAGGCATTTAATCTGAGATACAAGGACCTTCTGACAAAATTATTTAAGAAATTCTCAGGGAACAATCAGAAGATAATTAGTGAATTTAAGAAAAGTTGGAAAGAAGGTAGCTTTTTTGATTAAGAGAATTTTCACCTCATTTTATTCCTTATATCTTTCTTGGATCCTAAACCTATGAATATAACACATCAGATCCCATTTAACCCTATTATCACTAAAGTTCTTCAGTCTCTGCTACTATTCCCTACTCCTAAAAGTGCAAGTACCAAAATTTTTTGAACTGTTAAACCTCTGCAAACGCTCATGGAAAGTTTTAGGATCCCAGATGTACACCCCTCTAGACACTAAATTCATCGAAGACTGGATAAGAGTAAGCCTGGCTCTCTAACTCTGTTTCAGAAATAAACGGGCTAGCTCGGGCATGATGATTCATAAGCATCCGGTCAACCCTCTTCGTTGGGAAGAAGTCAAAGAGCATCCGTGTGGAGAAGGTATTCATTGGGGAGGTATACACAAATCCTATCAATTTTTCATAAATAAGCTCTCTGCTAAAAGCCCACAATTGCTTAACACAACTTATTTAGGCCAGAGACAAGGGAGCAATCCTCTTCAGAGACAGCTGTGATCCAGTTAAGATAATTATTTAGGGAAGAAAATAGCAAGGAAAATTACTCTGATGAATACTCTGGGTTTGAAGAAAGCGACCATGATAAGGTATTTAGAAGCGGTTGGGCGGAGCAATTTTAGGGGTGTTTGAGCAGAAGGAGTGTTGATGGAACTTAAATCGGTTTTGGATGATTAAAAATGCAATAGGCAACTTATATTACTGTATAGATAAAATTCTACTCCCGAGCTCCTCTCTGTCATCATTTCTATATATACTACTCCTATTCATCCTCGCCCTCTCATTTCATCTTTACAGAACTCTAATTCTTCAAAATTCCTCAAACCTCCCAAAGATGTTTTAAAAGCTCCAACAAATAAAGCACAAGAAATAAGGTATCTTTTCTTCTAACTCTACAGAAAGCTAAGTTCCAAAGAAAAATATTACGAGCTTATGAAAAGAATTCAGAGGTATTTTCTAATTAGAACATCATATATATTCTACATATTTCTTAACTATCCCTTAAAACACCGACCCTCACTTTATAAAACTTCTGGCTTAGTAATCCACTCTAGGATATATCCCCTACTTTCCCTCAAAACCCCCCTAAACCTCCATTCCCTGTACTCCCTTCTTCCTCCTCAGCCCCTCTTCCCAACCTAAAATCCCTTTTCCACTAAAATCTCAAAATCTCCACTCGTTCCTTAAATTTCCTATTTTCCCACTTTTTCTCTAAATTCTTACTAAAATTACCAAAAATCTTAATTTTACGTACAAATTTTCAAAACCTAAACTCAACCAAGACTGATTCCTAACTCAATATAGCAGCGCCAATGACAAAGAAGCAAGCAAAGGATCCTCTTCACCAATAAATAGCTTCTTTCAACAGAGATAAGCTAATTCGCATAACTCGGTTTAATTTCTGAATTCTTTATAATGAAAACATACTTTAAAATCCTCTTATAAATATAAAGATACCTATGCTAGACTTTTAATTTGATATTTCTATCCAACATCATTCTCTATAACCAAATTTCCACAATAAGCATTATATAATATTACCAACATCTTACCCCACCTGGACCCCTTTAAATCTGCTCTATTAGCCTCTAGCTCTCTAAGCCACATCCAAAACCACCCTCACACCTCTTTTACTCCTATATTTCAGCTCAGGGATACCTTTGCTGCCCAAAAAAGCCTCTTCTGGGCTGACCAGTTTTGTAGTGTAGAAAAATTGGGTTTGGAGGGAGGAAATGGGAGTTGGGTGGGAGGGGGATTGAGGAGTTAGGGAGGAGGAAGGGGGAATTTTGGGGGGGTTGGGTGGATTTTTCAAGCAAATTTAGTTTTTGAGGGGTTAGAAGTCAAGTTTAAGCAGATCGCATAAAATAAAACACCCTCAAGAAGCCGATATTTACCTACAACATTCAATAACCCATCTCTAACCAGGGGTTTTGGGGTTTTGGGGTTTTGGGG